ACTGAACTAAGGGGACTGGTCCCAGGCTGAAAGAAAATCCAGCCTGTGAACTGCAAACTATGAAAAGACAGTTACCTGTTCCGTAACTGGTGTTCGAGATGTGTTGCTCATGTCCATTCCATATTAGGTGTGAGTGCTCACCACATGCACTGGTGCCAGAAGTTTTTCCCTCAGTGATATCTGTAGGGGACTAGCTCTGGTGTCCCCTGGAGTGGCACACGTATCCCGTAGTATAAGGGGCACCGCTGGCTCCCTCCACCCTCAGGTTGCTCCCAGCTGGCCTGGCCTTTCTCGTTCGTTAATGGACGCAACTACCAGGGAGCTTGGGGCCAGGTGGGCGTATAAGTATTCATGCCCCTTCACCAGCACATAGTATTTTCACTCTGCCCTTTTTGAAATAGGGAGCAGGGATGAGAGGGTCTGCCACAAGGCGTTAATAATTTTAGATTCCCCATCACATAGGATAGCGCCACCCTAGCCAGTGCCGTAGAGCAAGGAGTCCTATATTTCTTCCAGCTCCTCAGCATGGATCCCCAAGCTGGAGGCGACACGTTTCAATAGTTCCTGATGCGCCTTAGCGTCATCTTGTGGAAATGGTGGGAGGGGGGGTGGGCGTAATCACCTCATCAGGGGACGAGGAGGACGAGGCCGGTACCGTGGGCTCCGCCCCCTCTGGTGGTGGTCCTAGTGGCCTTTCTTCGGGGTCCAGGTGGACCTGAATGGTTCCCCCTCCTGAGATGACTGTCTCTGGACGGGGGCGAGACACTGCAGCCTACGGCTTGTCTGAGGCTCCTGTCACTGATCTGGGCACTTGTGATGGGGAGCGGTGCCGCACAGATGGGGACTTGCGGAATGGTCCCAAGGTGGATTTACCCCTGGATCGTGGTACCGCCGTTGCCGGTGTGGGAAGCACTGGTAGCGCCATGATATCCTGTGCTGCCTGCCGGGCCGCAGGTGGTGAAGGGACATCCAGTTGCCTGAGGCCCACATCACGGTCTGGTGAGGCAGGCATGGCTTGGGGAGGGCTAGCCCACTCTCTGTGAGCTGGGGCCCCACCCACAGGAGGAGGATCGGATTCGCCCGCCTTGGGTTTTGGCCCACCTCCCGCCCTCTCCTTGCCCTCACGAGACGTAGCAGATCTTCCTCTCCTGGTCTTCTTTTGTCGCTTGGCAGGTGCCAGGGAGGGAGATCGTCACAGGTCCATCGATGGTGCTGGCGGGGGCGCGCTCTGCACCAATGCCACAGTGCTGGGACCAGAGTCGGACCTTAGCTGCTCCAGTGCCGGAGTTAGCACAGACTCCATTAGGAGCACTCTGAGACGGATGTCTCGCTCCTTCTTTGTCCAAGGTTTGAAGGCCTTACAAATTTGACACTTGTTGGTTATGTGGGACTCGCCCAGGCACCACAGACAAGTGCTATGCGGGTCACTGATGGGCATAGGTTTTCTGCAGGAATTGCAGGGTTTGTAGCCTGGGAACCGGGGCATGCCCTGACCCCCGGCTGAATCCGTCTGGCACTAACTTTTTAATCTAACACTAAGGATTTTCTAAAACTATTCGCAACTATTTACAACTTTTTTTTTTAAAGAAAAGATTGTTAACTACTGAGCAAGCAAGAAAGCTAGCCTAAGCAGCAGCTGTTCCCTCACTGTCACTGGCAGCAAGAAGGAACCGAGGGTGGAGGGAGCCAGCGGCGCCCCTTATACTGTGGCATGTGTGCGCCACTCCAGGGGTGCCAGAGCCGGTCCCCTATGGATACCACTGAGGGGAAAAACATCTGACACCGGTGCATGTAGCAAGCGCACACAGCTAATATGGACTGGACCTGAGCAAGCACTCGAAGAACTGAGAATTGCCTGGAGCATCTGGTGTGGTAAGAACGATGCTTGTTTCCAATCTTATTTAGCTTGGTAAAGTTTAGGAATTAGCTTGCGGTTTTATCTTTCTATTTCTTTTGTAACCAATTCTGCCTTACCACTAATCACTTAAAATCTGTTTCTCTAGTTGTTAAACTTGTTTTATTGTTTTATCTAAACCTGTGTGTTTGGAAAACTCCACTTGGGGTATCAAGGCTTGTGCATATCATTTTCTATTAATAAATGACAGACTTAATATGAGCTTGGAGTCCAGGAGAGTGCTTGGCAGTGCAAGATGCATATTTCTGGAGCAAAGTCTGGGACTGGAGAGTTTGCTGGTGTTGCTCTGCAGTGTAATTCATGAGTGGCCGGCTATAGCACTCATGCAGTGGAACTGGGAGTAATTTACATGCTGGAGACTGTGAGAGCAGACCAGGAGTGGTTGCTCTCACAGCAAAACAGTGTAAAAGGCACCCCAGGTTGGAGAACTGAGGGGACACAGCTTTTCAGCAAGTCAAATGTAGGCTGCACCATCGGAAAAATGGATATTTTGTAAGATGGTCTATCAGATTCATGACATGTCTCCAACTCTGTCCTGAGGTAGTCACAACTGATTCTAGGTGGGTAGCGAGCAATGTGAGTAAGGGAATTAATGAAGCAAGATCCTGTTTTCACACAAGTTCTCATGCAATAGTCAAGGCCAGTTGCTTGGCACGGATTCTGAGATTTTTGTAATTGAAAAAGTCACAACATCTTAGATGCCCTTGAACAGTCTGACAAGCACTGATATGTTGCAGAATACTAGCAGTGCATGTATAGTTTGTTTAGGGCTGCTACAGTTAGAGAATATTAATAAGTGTGCATGCAGAACATTTTCTGTGCAGTTCAATATTGTACTTTAAAGCAGCATTTCTCAAATGTGGCCACCAGGGGTTTTTCCTGACGCCACGACAGTCTCCTGGCTAGAGATGAAGGAGGGGGTAAAGCAGCAGCCCCTCCCTGCAGCACCGAGGGGCTCGGGGGAGGGCTTCAGCCCCGCTCCCCCATCCCATCTTCAGCTGCGGGACTCTAGGGCTGGGCTTCTCCCCCCCCGATTAAGCCAGAGGCTCCAGGCATGGGCTTCAGCTCCACTACCCCAGCTTCAGCCATGGGACTCCAGGAGCAGGCTTCACCCTCCCTCCCCGGCTTCAGCCGCAAGACTCCAGGAGTGGCCTTCACCCCTTCCCCTCCAGCTTCAGGACTCTGGGGACAGGCTTCACCCCGTCCCCTGCGGCTTCAGCCTTGGAGCTCTGGCAGCGGGCTCCGGGATTCAGCCCCTCCCTCCCCACTCTAGCCATGAGGCTCCTGCTCTAGGCTTCATCCCAGGGCAGCAGGGCTTCAGGATGGCCGGCCTTACCGGATGCCGTGGCCAAGAGGCAAGGAGCTGGGTGAGCCTGGGGTGTGAAGCTGCAGAAGGGAGCTCATGGCAATGCGGGGCAGGGGAAGCAGCGGGATCTGGGGGAGGTGGGGGGTGGTGGGGCCAGGGGTGATGGGTGGGTGACTGAGGGAGACAGCAGGGACAAATATTTTTTTTAATGCACAGTCTCTAATATTCCAAATCAGGAGAGTCTACTTTAACACCTGCAGATAAAGCCCTTCTCACCTTTTCCTGATTGGGTCTTTGTTCTCATCCTGAACGCTAGAAAGTCGCCTCTTGGGACGATTTTTCTGTGACGGTGTTTTTGGCATCAGCTCTGGCTCATCACTGCAGCTGCTGTTTTAACAAGGAGGTGGCAAGGAAGAGAAATCAACATCACCAGGCAAGAAGGTACTTGCACCTGGGCACATCTGTCATGGTAGGTCTCCAGCTGGCGAACAGACAAGGGGGATGTCTACAAAGTCTTGCCTCTACCAAGTGAGGAGCAGGACCCATGCCCAACAGGATACTACAGGTCACGCAACAGGCTTGGCTCCAGCCAGTCACAGAGCCAGCCACTGGGCACGGGCTATGTAGCTGAGTCTATTAGGGGAGTTCTCTGTCCGTCTCTATAGGTGTGTGGGGGGGTCTCTATATGTCTAGATCCATGTGGGGGAGAGGAAGGTCTCTGCATTTGTGTATCTGTCTCTATCTGCGGGTGTGCGCCTGTCTCTGTGGAGGGTGGGGATCCTCTCTCGGCGTCAATCTGTCTGTGGGGTCTCTCCACATGTTCGTCGGTCTCTATTTGGGGAGAGGAGGGGCTGCCTCCATCCCCACTGCGTGGCTGGCGGGGTGCAGGGGAAAGCGGACAGCACTGCCGGCGTTCACCACCCCGGTGCGCTCCATTGCCCTTGGCCAAACTCCTCCTTCCGTGGCATGCCCCGCCCCACCCCGTCCGGCCAGGGCTGGACCAATCCCCCCACCAGCCCATCCATTCCTCCCCCCGAATTGGTGATGGATCAACTCCCCCCCCCCGGCACACTCCTACCCCCGGTTCTGGATCAACCCGCCCAGGGCTGGACCAGAACCCATCCCCCACCAGCCCGCTCCATTCTCCTCCCCCGCCCCCCGGCGCTGGATCAGATCCCCCCGCCGGCTCCTACGTGCTGAACATCTTGGCGGCCTCCTCGCGGATCTCCCGCAGCCAGACCATGTCGATGGCGTCCACCTGCCGCAGGAACTCGGCCAGTTTGCGGTTACAGACCGCGGGTAGGTGCGCGGGGCCCGACGCCGCCTCCATGGCTCCGTCCGTCCGCAGCCGGCGCTCTCCCAGGGCAGGCCGTGGCAGAAACCCTCCTTTTCCTGGTGCGCGCCGCGCCGCTACCCGCCTCAATTTTCAAATCTAACTGTCAGCGGACACGCGTGTCGTCACTCCCCCTCCTGCCCAATCACATAGCGTCCCACGAGGTGCAAGGGGCGTACGCAGCCCGCATCATAGAGACCAAAACAGGCCTTTCTAGCCACTAGAGTCTATGATGCGGAGCCTCTGGGAGGAGCTCGCTGGTAAGTAGCGGGGCGGGATCCTAGCAGTATCGCCCCCTCCCGGCCGTGACGGACAGAGGCGGGAGCCAATGAATATGGCGCTCCGGCAGGGCGCTTTGTGATTGGTGCGGACTCGGATGACCTCGATGGGCGGGGGGCGCGGCGGATGGCTTGACGCGTCTGGAGGCTCAGGTGGTGCCAGACGGAACGTGTTTCCCCCAAAGCCTCACGGATACCGCTCTAGCCGTTCTCTCTGTGGTCTGGAGGTCTTCTCTGCGAGGAATGCACTAGCTGCTGCCCGGGCTGTGGGACGGTTGGTACCTGCGGGGGAGGAGAGCTACCTGCAGGGGGCGCCTTTCCCCTGTCTGTGCGCGCGCTGTGCTGCTGGGGCTCTGCCCCCCCCTGCCCCCTCCCCCCCCAGTGGCTGAGGCGGTGGGTAGGGCAGGATGCCTGGGTCCTTTTTTTTTCCCTCTTTGAGCAGGGAGCTGGAGCTGCTGGGTCCTGTCCCACCCCCGCCACCCCCATCCCCCCCGTGAGGGCTGGGGAGCCTTGACAGCCTGGGCCTAGCCCTGTGCCCCAGGGCTTGGCAGGGGGATGGGCGCCCTGTGCCTCCAGTGTGGACTGAGGCAATGTCTCGTTGCCCCCCTGTGGGGAGTAGCTAGGGGTAAGTGCGGGTGGTTGTGACATCCCAGGTGAACGGTGCTGCAGACAGGTGCTAATGAACTACCTGCTCCCCCTGCCCCCTTGTGTTTCAGGCAGAGCCATGGCGGAGGGTCCCACTCACCTGTTGGAGGTTTGCCGTCAGAAACTGTCCGAGTTCTTGTGCAATGTCGAGCACAAGCACTTGGCATGGCTGCGGGAAATTGAGGAGGAGGCCATGAAGATGTTCGATAGGTAGGACCATCTGGGTGGCAGAAGGGTGGAGCTGTCTCTGATGGGCTCATTCACAGGCCGTTCTGTCTCTCTCAGCTGTCAGTACTATGGATCCTTCTGATGTGTGCGACAGTACGACCCATGAGTCTTGAGCCCATCTGTGCAAATGTGCCCCTGTGAAAAGCAGCCTTTGCCTGACTTTTTTCCTCCTGTTTTATAGGATTAGCCAATGGGAACTTTTAACCATCGCAATTGAGAGTTCTTAGGGACTGGTTTATAATGTCAGTCTCAGTGAGATTTCAAACTAAAGGCCACTGGGGAGCCTGGCTTTTCCAGTTGCTACTATAGTAAGCGGAGGCAAAAAGAAATGTTAGTGATTTACTTTATCTATATGCTGGGCAGTTTGTTTTAGCCTGTAGTGTTCAGTGTCTGTGGTCTTGCTAGAATGTCCCCAAGCTGCTGATCAGAAAGACTTCATAGAATCATAGAAGATTAGGGTTGGAAGAGACCTCAGGAGGTCATCCAATCCCCTGCTCAAAGCAGGACCAACACCAACTGAATCATCCCAGCCAGGGCTTTGTAAAGCCAGGCCTTAAAAACCTCTAAGGATGGAAATTCCACCACCTCCCTAGGTATCTTGGCCTTATGGCATCGCTTGGCCTTGTCCCCACTGTAATGAACAACATGCTGCTGCTAAGGGTTGAACAGCATGGTGTTCAGGCAAGGAAATAAATTCCTTCCCTTGTGTTCTGTTTTTTGAACAGCAACTTAAGTGCTGAACCTGAGCTGATGCCCAAAACACCATCACAGAAGAAATACCGTAGGAAGAAGCGCTCCTTATCTCTTAAGGACGAGAACAATGAACTGACCAGAAAAAGGTAGGTGGTTGCCTTGGATCTCCTGTGCCAACAAACTACAGAAACAAACAAGCCAGAGGCAAAAGTAAACTACCCATTTCAGAACCAAACAAAACACCTGTATCAATAACTAAATAAATGTGCTAACTTAAACATTATTAATATACTTACTGTGACACTACCAGGTCAAAGCAGCAAAGAGTCCTGTGGTACCTTATAGACTAACAGACGTATAGGAGCATGAGCTTTCGTGGGTGAATACCCACTTCTTCGGATGCATGTAGTGAAAATTTCCAGGGGCAGGTATAAATATGCAAGCAAGAGTGAGTAAGGCTAGAGATAACGAAGTTAGTTCAATCAGGGAGGATGAGGCCCTCTTCTAGCAGTTGAGGTGTGAACACCAAGGGAGGAGAAACTGCTTTTGTAGTTGGCTAGCCATTCACAGTCTTTGTTTAATCCTGAGCTGATGGTGTCAAATTTGCAGATGAACTGAAGCTCAGCAGTTTCTCTTTGAAGTCTGGTCCTGAAGTTTTTTTGCTGCAGGATGGCTACTTTTAAATCTGCTATTGTGTGTCCAGGGAGGTTGAAGTGTTCTTCTACAGGTTTTTGTATATTGCCATTCCTAATATCTGATTTGTGTCCATTTATCCTTTTACGTAGGGACTGTCCAGTTTGGCCGATGTACATAGCAGAGAGGCATTGCTGGCATATGATGACATATATTACATTGGTGGACGTGCAGGTGAATGAACCGGTGATGGTGTGGCTGATCTGGTTAGGTCCTGTGATGGTGTTGCTGATGTAGATATGTGGGCAGAGTTCGCATCGAGGTTTGTTGCATGGATTGGTTCCTGAGTTAGAGTTACTATGGTGCGGTGTGTGGTTACTGGTGAGAATATGCTTCAGGTTGGCAGGTTGTCTGTGGGCGAGGACTGGCTTGCCACACAAGGCCTGTGAAAGTGAGGGGTCCTATTCTGGCACCACCCCACTTAGGATCTGAGTACATTAATTGGAAGGGGTATTTCTCAATGGTTCTCCAGGCGCTTGTGGATCACCGTGGGCGTTTCATTGACATTAACACAGGCCGGCCCGGAAAGGTGCATGACGCATGCATCTTTCAGAACACTTGGCTGTTCAGGAAGCTGCAGGCCGGGACTTTTTTTCCCAGAGTGGAAGATCACAGTAGGGGAAGTTGAAATGCCCATTGTGATCCTTGGAGACCCCGCTTACCCGTTAATGCCGTGGCTCATGAAACCCTACACAGGGAGCCTGGACAGGAGCAAGGAACAGTTCAACTACAGGCTGAGCCGGTGCCGAATGACTGTGGAGTGTGCCTTTGGCCGTTTAAAGGCCCGCTGGCGATCTCTGTATGGGAAGCTGGACTTGGCCGAAAACAGCATCCCCACGGTTATATCCGCGTGCTGTGCCCTCCATAATATTTGTGAAGGGAAGGGTGAAAGCTTCACTCAGGCATGGAACTCCGAGGTTGAACACCTAGAGGCTGAATTTGCACAGCCAGAGAGCAGGGCTATTACAGGGGCCCAGTGCGGGGCTGCAAGGATTAGGGATGCCTTGAGGGAGCAATTTGAGGCTGAAAACCAGCAGTGATATCTGGTGCCCTGCACGGGAGTGATGTGCAGTAGTTGCAATCTTTAGGAATCCGTGTTTGCTAAGCAGACTTGCAGTGCCTGTTTATTTCCTGGGCTAAGGAATTTTTACTTTATGCAGTAATAAAGAATGTTTTCAAAGCCAAAAAATCCATTTATTGAAAAGAAACACAACTGCTTGGGAATCAGAAAGGGCAAGGGGGTGGAGTGGGGAACGGTACAATCACAGATTCGCATATGTCCTGTCTGGTGTGCTGTGCAGTGAGTGCTGCACTTCAGGATAGCTATACTGCATGGTGATGGGGGTTGAGTGCAGAGGGTAAGGGTCGCGGTTTTCAGGGCTGGGTGGTGAAGATACTGGTGTTGGAGGCAGCTGGTGGCATGAAGAACCCGGAAGTTGGGGAAAGTGGGTTGGAGGTAACAGTGGGGCACAAGGGAAAGAGTTTTGGGACAAGGGCTGGGGGTGGGGGGTGAGCGTTTGCGGTACTGCTCCTTTTGCATGGCTACGAGCTCCTGGATAGCGTCTGCTTGGCGCTCCAGGATGCTTATGAACCGATCCGTGCTTTGCTGCCGGTGCTCCGTGCTTTGCCGCCGGTGCGCTGCGTTTTCCTGGCGGATCCTGCTTTCTCTCTCCCTCCAGTTCTGTGCTTTTTCATTCTCTTTAATAGATTGCCGCATCACTTCTTGCAGCATGTCTTCTTTGTTTTTTTGCAGTCTCTTCCTGAGTCTTTGCAGCCTCTGAGCAGGCGATAAGAGGGATGGCTGAGGTCTCAAGGTTGTTGCAGCTGTATAGGCAAAATGCAACATTTAACAGAGGCAGCATTGTTTATAGCAGACAGAGTAATGATTTCCCCCGCACTTAAGGAGGGCACACACAGGGTCTACACAATAGCATAATTTTCCCGTCCCAAACAGAGCGCACACAACCCACGTGAGCCTCAAAATGGTGAGTAAGGGGGACTGATTGTTTCAGGGCTGCACTGTCCTCTGGGTTTCTGTGCCTTGGGGAGAGTCAACAGCTGCAGGGGGAACCTACACTGAACACTGTCCCAACGTTTTCCACAGGAGTTCGTCATGGACGATATCTCGCTGCTGAGGGTGACCTGGGAAGCAAGGGAGGGTCTTCTACTGCAATGCGGCTTCCGCCCTGGCCCATATGCAGCTTGCCTGTGTGCAGCAATGGTCCCCTCGCCCCTCACCGCACAGTGGCGCGGACACGTTAGCCTGGCTGGGACAAGGACCACGGTGGCTCTCACGATAAATCTGCACAAGCGCATTGCACACGTTCTGGATGAGACATTCGAAGAGATTACCGAGGCCGATTACCGCGATGTGATAAACCACATCAATGCACTATTCCGCATCTACGCATGCATGCCTAACCCTTTTCTCCCAAAGAGCCCGCACCAAAAAAATTCCTTCCCGAAAAAAAAACCACTTACTGGGAACCTGCTCTTTTGTTTGTCCTCCACCAAGTACCGGCCGCTGCGACTGGCTACCCTCCTCCTGGCTCGAGAAGAGCTCCTGGCTGCATCCCTCCAGGGATTCCGGGGTGTCTCCATCCGCCCCACCACCCTCACTCCCGTTTTCCTCCTCCTCCTCCCACCCCGGCTCTGAAGTGTCCATGGTGGTGCTCGGAGTGGAGGTGGGGTTAACCCCAAGTATCGCATTCAACTCTTTGTAGAATCGGCAGGTCGCAGGGGGAGCACCCAAGCGGCCGTTTGCGTCGCGGGCTTTGCGGTTGGCACTCCGTAGCTCCTTCACTTTAATCCTGCACTGCAGGGCGTCCCGGTCATGGCCCCTTTCCATCATGTCCTTTGATACCTTCCCGAAGGTATCGTAATTCCTACGGCTGGAGCGCAGCTGGCACTGGACAGCTTACTCCCCCCCAAACACTGATGAGGTTCAGCAACTCGCCATTGCTCCATGCTGGGGCTCGCTTGGCGCGTGGAGGCATGGTCACCTGGAAAGATTCGCTGATAGCACTCCACGCCACGCCTGGCTGAGTGAACAGGAAGGGGATTTTTAAAATTCCTGGGGAATGTCAAGGGCGGATCACATGGTTGGTTACCTGAGGCCAGGGCAGTAGAGTTTGAACTGATGACCAGAGTGGCTACAACAGGCATTGTGGGATACTGCCGAATACTTCTGGAGGCCAGTCACAGCGCATTGGGCGGCCACACTGGTGCCACAGCGCTGCAGCAGCGGCACAATACACAGTATTCCTCTCAGGAAGGTGGAGTACTCGCAGTGCTGCAACCACGGAGATACAGCGCTGTAAGTGCCTTGCCAGTGTGGATGGGTAGTGAGTTACAACGCTGGGGGAGGCTTTATTGCGCTGTAACTCGCAAGGATAGCCAAGGCCTTAGGCTTGGAACCTCTCCTATACCTCGTTTGCAAAGTACCTATCATTTCCATTCAGATCTAACCTTCCAATCCACTTCTATAAAGCTCACAAAGTTTAATCCATCTAGGATAGGTGTGCTGTCTGATACCTGACATTTGAGAGGTACGTGCTTTTAATGATCTGTGTACAATAGGAAAAAACTGCCTACTCCTGAAGAGCTGTCTGCACTGTATGCAGCTGAACTGCTGCAAGCATAGGATACCTTGTGCTCAGTATTATTTCAATAACCACAGTTAAACCCATGGGGGAAGGAAGGGAGGAGAGATTTGAACTAAAAATGAGGCTGAAACTAGGTGGTTAAGAATGGGAAGGGAGGAGAACATCTCCCTGCTCTAGGCTCTGGACGAATTGTAAATGTCCAGATAGAAGCTAGCTGCTTAATTACATTGTTAGCCCCCTCCCACCCTCCAAAAAAGAGTGGTGCCTTAAAAAAATTCACACCTCCCTATGCTTAGTCACCTAGGCCAAGATTTTCACAAAGAGTTAAAGGGTTCTCTTTCTCAGAAGTGCTGTAAACCCACCTTCTCAATTGGCCTCTGTCTAACAAGTGACAAATTGAGCATTCCAGAAACACTGTCTCCCACTTAAGGAAATCTCAAGGTACATGAGGAAGTTACCCCTGAACTTTGAGTCTTTCCATTTAGAAAAAGATCTGATTACATGATGCTGTGGATTTTTGTTTCTCTCAAGTTACACAAGGACACTTCGGTGTGGAATCAAGATCTCATTTCAGAAGTTTACTTGCTCTCACTGCTTGCTCTGAACATTGAATCAGTTGTGATTAATTTAAGCCGTGATGCTGGAGACACTCCCTAATCTGACAGACCTCATTCTGCAGGAAAAGCTTTTTGATGATTCGGGTAAAAAATCTTTAGGCAGCTTCATCCTATTTGTACTTATTCCTCCCTCATACACAGCATTGCCACTTCAGATACTGCTACATAATTTTATGTTCCCCTTTCCTGTCCAAGCTCTACACATTAATTCTTTGGAGCCTATCCACTTTGCTCCTTTCTAGCAAGCCGCCCCATGTTTCATGGTATCCCCAACTGGGACTCCTGTGTATTGAGATCCTATCTGCATGGTAGTATTCCTAGTAAAGAGTGAGAGAATGATCCAGGAAAAGATAATGAGGTTTTAAATGGAATGATAGTTTCTATTACTGGAGGTTTTTGGTATACAATATCTTTTTAAACACTTTGATAGTAGTAATATCTAGCTCTTATCATAAGTAGATCTTAAAGTGCTTTACAAAGGTGATAAGTATCATTATACCCATTTTACAGATGGGGGGGAAGTGGGAACTGAGCCAAAGGAAGGCCTTGCCAGTGTTGCCCAGCAGGCAGAGCAGGGAATAGAACCCAGGTCTCCTGAGTCCTGGTCCAGTGTTTTATTAACTTAATCTCATTAAAAATAGTTGTACCTGGACAATAAGCATAGTTGCATGTAAAAAATACCGAGAGTCATGTCTACAGTCAGTGATGTCAGTTTTAGGTTCTGAAATGGCCAGAGAGAAAAATCCTGCCTCATTTGACTGTCTTTGTTTTAAGGTTATCGAGAAGGAGAAGCAGCCTCAAGCCAGCATCCTCTAAGCAAGTTTCCCAAAGGCTCCGAAGCAAAGAGGGACTGGAAAAACCCAGTGATGTTCAAAAGGGAGTCAATACTTCTTTTTCAACAACGAGATTCCACTCCAAGGTTGAAACAGAGTTTTCTCTTCCATCGGAGGCAGTGGCTAAGACACCAACTATCTTGTTAGTAGAAGAGCGGGTTCCCTTGACAGAAATCAGTGTTGACAGCCACAGTGGTGCTGACTTGTATTTGAAGGGGAATAGGCCTGAAATAATAGACCAGGCCTTGGAGATCATCTCCCTGAGTATTGATGACCAAGCTCCCAAGAAGCCTAAGGTTACTGAACTTCAACCTATGTCTGCAGCCTCAGCACTGGTGATCCCTGACACTCCTGAGGCAAAGGGGACAGGAGAAGACCGGGATGCTGCCAACTTTAGAACAGCAAATACATCCACGCCAAAAGCTGCCGTAAATGGGGAGCCCGGAGCTGAGAGTGACGTTTCTGCTCAGGGGCCAGAAAAGGAGCTTTTCCAGGACTTAAAGGACAGCACAGGGACCTCAACAGGGTCCAAATCGAGCCATCCCTCTGCACGCAGAAGCCAGAGGGGTAAGTCCCATAAGCACCGCAGGACCTCGCTAGCAGAGAAGTATTCTCTGGCCAGCAAAAGAGAGAGCATGATCCGGAAATCTATCAGCAGGGCTATCTCTAAGAAGAAGGCAGCTCGGGAGTCCTCTTCAGCCTCCAGCCACGTGAGCTGTAAGTTTGTGAAGTATGAAAAGCAATTCAGTGTGTCCTTTTATTCAGAGCCTCTCTGCTCTGTCTGTCCATCAGTGTGCTGTTTGACTTAGAGGGGCTCGGAGCCACCTGCAGTGCTGCTTGTGCAGGGGTGGTACAACTGAAATTTTTAAATCTCACCTTACAGTGTCTTAAAGCTTCAAGACACAACAGTTCTCTTGTGTCTCCAGCTCAAACTCCTGCACGGTCTCTGGGCTCTGAAAGTGTCTGCTGATATTCAGTTCCTTAAACTCTCTTGCTTGTAGAAGCAAAGTGGCTTCCAGCTGGGTCAGTTAAGGACTGAAGCACGTGGATTTTAGGCAAACAAAACTAAATGCCACGTGGCATGCTGTCGTCATACAGTAATAGTAAAAACTGTAACTTTAAAAAAAAAAAAAAGAAACCTAACCTATGCTCGAAATACTGTGGAGATCCAATTGAAGTCAAAGCCATGTGTAAATTGATGGGCAAGAGAAACACCAGTCCTGAAACTTCAGATAGTAGTTGCTGAGTCCCAACCTACTGAAGTTACTTGTTAATGCTGCAGAATATTGAATCTGCCCCCAAAGAATAAGTGCACAGTTACCAAAAATACAAACACACTTGCTTTCATCCCTAATGAGGATTTAAACCCCTTTTCTAACTGAAATTCTCCACAGCTTCAACTATGGAATTACTAGTGATCTCTCCATAATACAGACTTGAGAACATCTTTCTGTATTTCCAGAGTTACTCCAGCTGATGTGGAAGGAAGCTTGGGAGGTACTGAAATGGTTTTTGGGCCATTATGGTGCTTAAGTTCACTGCACTATGTAGCAACTTCTAGCTGTAGAAAGTCAAGCAAGGGTGCTTTGCGCTCATATGGAAATCTATGAGTGGGAATGCAATGTGTCCCTTGGAGAGAGGGGCTGTTTAGCACAGGAATAGCTGCTTATAGGATGCATCCGATTAAGACCACCAAGCTAGCTAGTGTCTTGCTTTATCCGTTTCCTTCCAGGCCACAGCTCCCTGGAGGTATTTGTGGATGAAGATGCAACCAGCAATGTCAGGTGAGGCTGCTCTGTCAAATAGGCAGAAGCTTTGGAAAATCTTGCAGAAAACTCTACAGGTCGTTCCTATGCCCAGTCACTAAATGAATACTTTGTGCTGTAATCTTCACCTGTGATTGGGATTGGTAGTTGCTACATAGTTGTGGCCCTTCCTCAGACCCTGACTATATCTTGCAAGCCTCTCCAACAGCAAGGCTGGTATGATCTCTGTTCTTCCTCTCAGATATCTGTACTGAGCTACCTAAAAAGGCTGATGCATTGTTTTTAGCTTGTGCAGAATATGACCGTGCACTGCAAGATATTGGCCAGCTTGACTAAGAAACTGTTCCCTTAGGCTCTGTCTGTTAATATTTCCGGTTTGTTGTGTCCCATGTATCTTACTAACTTCCTGAACCCTGTGAACTAATGTCCTTTTCCACTCTCATCACCAGATTGGAGAGGTGTGCAGTTTGTGGTCTCCAAGATTTGCAGGGTAGGGCAGGTTCACCTGTCTGTGCCCCAGGGCTGTGGCATATCCTACCTATTGACCTGAACAATGCTAAGACCTTCTACAAGGGGCATAAACTCACTAGCATATAACTCAGCAACTTACTGTGCCACCCCCATCTGGCCTGTTCAAACAGGGTTATGTCTGTGGGTCTCATGCTGAAGTAAATTCACTCTCTGCCTGAAGATTATAGAGTTAGACTTCAGTGCATGAGTCTTGACTCTAGCATGTACGAACAGTTCCTCCATTGATCAGAATGAATATCTTGTCCCCACTACACTTAGATATAATTAATATACTGAAGCAGACTGTCAGATTGTGGTCTTGGTCACCTGTAACATGCTCTTCCAAGGTGCCTAGAAGCCTCTGACAGAAGCATCACAAGAATAAAACCCATAATTTCCTTACTTCCTCTGTGGGAGCAGATAACTTGTCAAAACACCTCTCTCTCTCTTCAGGCCTGAACTGGAACCAAATGCTGAATGTGACAAGGTAAGGCCCAGGTCAGGCTTTCCAAAGACAAATGGAGTAAGTTAACTGTACTGCTTCTTAGCTGCTAGTTCCGGAGTCTAGATCTCTCTGCTGAACTGATAGAATCACTGTCACTGAAACTGGAGAATGTGTCTGGGGGATTGTTCTGTCTCAACTTGGTTCTTGGTATATTATGGCACTAGACTATGAGACTTCAGAGACCTGGCTTCAAATACAAGACTTCCTGTATTATCTTGGGTGAGTCACTTAAGGACAGATTTTTAACGATATTTGTATTTAAAAATCTGGCCTTTACCCTCTGTCTTGGTTTCCAATCTTCTGCTTTTATGTCGTGTCCCTTTTATTCACCCTTCTGTGTCTGTTTACAATGTCAGCTTCTTAGGACATGGATTCGTACTGCCCTACTGTTTTGTACAGCGCCTAACACAACTGGGCCCCAGTCTCCATTGGAATCTCTAGGCACTATCATAAAACATGAGTAAAATTAAGGATTTGTATCAGAACATTTTATAATTTCAGTTCCCAAGTCAGCATCGTTTTACAACTTGCTTCCATTGAGCTTTGACAGACCTGTCTGAAGACCTGTGCACCAAGATTGTGTAGGCTTCTGATTGAATCACTTGCTTTCCTCACTTCCCACACGTGTCTGTGCAGGAGAGCTGTGTGACTTGAGTGTTACGGTGCAGTGCTTGGTTTGTAAGGAGAGGAGAGGTGCTAATGCCTATGGAGTTTGTGCCTTTTCTAATCCTTCTGGTGCAGGGAGGTTGTTGCCCCCCCCCCCCCCCCCAGTAGCTGGGAATCGCTTGCAGCCTCAATCTAGGGCAGTTTAAAAGTGACTTTTAAAGGTGCTTGGCCAAGATTTTCAAAAGTGACTAGTGATCTTGGATGCCTCAGTTTGTGGGTGTCCAACTAGAAACTCTTGAAGGGACCCCCCCCCTGAAATTGCTGAACACGGACTCTGAAAATCAGCAAGTTTGGGTGCCCAACCTGAGATAGCTTAGTCAGTTTAGAAAAATCTTGACCTTAAAGTCCCAGTGGAGGAAGGACAAATCTGACTCTTCTGCTTTTTGATGGGTGGTGTCTGTAACACCCCCTCCTTGCTGTGCCTTTGCTCCATGAGCAGGCATCCTGTGTCCGTAGTAGGCAGAACAGCACTCGGTGGGTCTGCCCTCCTGCCATTACAAAGAGAAAAGAGCAGTTCCTGGCTTGTTAGCAGCAGGGCTGCAATCAGTGCAGAGTGCATCCAGAGTCACTGGCTTTGCAACCTTCCTTTTCCCCCTTCCCAGGACACACAATGCTTGCTGAACCCCTGTTTCTGTGGGGGGTCTTGCTAAAGTCTGCTTCCTTCTACAGGCTCCAAAACACCTCCAGAAAACCTTCATTATTCCAAATGAAGGCAGCCCTGTTGCAGAACAGTCAGCTCAGATTGAACCACCGAATGGGGCAGAGCAGCAGGCAGGAAACTGTAAAGGTAAATATTGCTAAAACTGTGTTGATGGAGCAGCAAGGAAGCATGGGACTGTGGAGGTCCCTTGGGGGTTAATGAAAGATCTGATAGTCTGTCTTGCATCTTTGCCACCTACTGACCTAACTTATCCTGCAAGGGCTCTTTGCTGTCTCCAGAGCAGAGTAAGATTTGTCCTATGCTAGATCATTCAGCAGAGTTTTTCATAAATGTGCAAGATACAAATGAGAGCAATTGGACAGACTCAGTACAAACCACTTCAGTCTGAGCAACTAATGGTTGGGGAACTGTCGAGGAAAATATCTTAAAGCTTCAGTTTGGTTCAGTGTCTAGTGTTTAAGAGCAAAAGTAATTAGTGTTTGGACTAGTAACACTATCTTGAGATGCATGAAACAAACTGAGGAGGAACAAGAGGAGATTGCAGCCCCTCCCATCTCACTCTGCCTCAAAGTGAAGAGCTATGAGATGGGATCAGCTTTCACTATAGTAAGTGTGTAATCCCCTAAGGATCCTGTTAGAGCATCTTATTGGGATGGGGGTGGAGTGTCCAGAGTTCTCTTATGGACTAACATATCTGTCTCATCAAGGGTCTCTACACAGAGAGGGGTGTGATCATACAAGTTGCATACTCTAATACTATTCTTTGTGATGTTGGTTAATGCACAGATACAAAACTTGTGTTTTAAAATAGCTAGTGTGCTCCTGTTTTAGCTCAGTATAAGGTTTCTGATTGGCACAGCTCTTAGCAGTAGTGTTCTGCAGTATTTTTATGAGGCTTGTCTTGGGAGCCATGAAGACAAGAACCTCTGGCATTGGACCTCTGCTGTAGGAAACCTTTCATGTGGAACTAACTGTAGCATTCTTCACAGAGAGCCATTTGAAAAAAAGTGGCACTTCTCAGAGCAGTGGGAGCAAGGAGCAGCCCCAGAATGCCAAGCCACTAGAACAGCCCTCGAGTATCCGGTATGTTCCTCCTTGGCCTCAGGCTAGGGGAGAGAAAAAAAATAGACTAGTGATCTGGAATGACTAAGTTGTTATCTATCAAGTACCTTGGTTGAAAGCTTTGGTATGATTGACCAAACAGGGTTTCAAATCCACATAATGTACCAAAATTTTTGGGTTATAGATTTTCATCAGTTTAATACAAAATAGGTCTCTTGAAAGGCGGCATGGCCTAGTGAATTAGGCACAGATGGGACTAGAACCTAGGTATGACTGCAAGTCACTTATGTCTGCTTTCCATTTTCTGGATGGGAATAGTACCCTCTTCCCCCCCAGGGACGTAGTAAGGAATTGTGTTTGTAAATCTCTAAGTGCTGCTTGGAGGGGAGGAGTAGGGTGGCTAAGGATGGCTGTGCAGTAACTTCATAGAATAATTTGAACAGACTCTTAAGTGCCTAAAATATCTAACGGCTTGGCTCTTTCCTTCGCTTCCCCAGCTGTTGATTCTCCTACATACACAAGAGAATGGTAGTAAAAGATCCACCAAAGCCAATTTAAATGCAGTTGTTGCTCTCAGTTCTGTCCTTTTTCAACCTCTTGTCCCCCTATTGAGGCTCTGTTTGATCTTGTGAAATCTACAACATCTCCTGTAGTTGGGGGAAAAGTGGCAGCAAATTCTGGCACTACAAATAAGCTAATGTACAAAAACTCTTCAAAGCAAACAAAACTTTTCACATGGAGCTGGGTATGGACAGTACACAACACACTTTCGACTATGCCGCGTGCCCTGCCCCACCTTGCATTACTGATGCTGGCTGTGACAAACAGGTGTCTATCAGAAACTCGCATCTATCACTTACTGAAGCTGGGGCTGGAGAATAACATTGTGGTTGCTTAGTAAGAGAGGCTATATCTCTATTGTTTTGTAAGTCTAGGAACCCTCCACCCTTCGCACCTCTTCCCATCCCCTTTTTCTAGCATCTTCATGGCTGCATGTTCTGAATATGTAGTGTTCTCACATAGGCATCACAGATCACTTGATGGTGCTGAGTAGGCAGGAGGGGTTGTATAAAACGAATTAAAGGCTGCAGTGGAGGCCAGGAATGCCGTTTCCTGTGCTGTGTCAATGTAACACACCCTTTACTCTTTCAGGAGACAGAGTTATAAGCAAGCAGTAGATGAGCTATGTAATGGGCAGCAGCTAGAAGACTGTGACCTCTCTCCTTCATATGATAAGACCACTTCTTCTCCTGCAAGCAAGACTCTAGCCTCGCCCAGCCCAGCCAGCAAGGTGAGTAGATTCCATGGCCCTACATCACTCTGCCTATTCTGGATCCCCTTCTGATGCCCTCTGCTCTCCTCGTAGGTCGTACGTCCATTCAAACACTTTTTACAGACGGTGCAGAAGAACCAGCTGCTCGTGACCCCAGGGTCCACAGGGCACAGTAGTGTCATGAAAAACCTTATCAAACGCAACACTCCTACCCGACCGGATTCCAAGGTAGAGACGATCTCTTTTCCCTTGAGGGTGAGAAGGGAAGAGCAAATGTATGGGGCAGGGTTGTCTGCTTTGAAATGCTCACTGCAAATCTGCATCACAAGCCGTTCAAGATTCCAAATGAGGAATGGTACCAAGGAGCAAACTTAAATCACAACTCTTCCCATTCTGATATGCTGACTGAATGTCCGATCCAGCACCCAAACTCTCCTCTCTCAGTGGTCTTGGCAGAGAGGCTAAAAACTGAATGGGCCATGAAGATTATTTTTCCCTTTGATGTCTGAAGATGCTCCCTCCAGAGTGAGACACGCTGGTGTTACAGGAGAGTACAGCATAGGCCGTGTCAGGGTAAGGGGTGTACAGGAGTGCACTGCCATGCTAGTATCTTTCATCAGCATGAAATTGACTGCCTGTAGTCTTTAGCTTAATTCATTGAAAATCCTTTTGACAATCTCTTCCATGCAAAGTCCTGGGTTTGGATAGTTTCTCCTGTAGCAGTTGTCTTTATGGCTGCCTGGTTGGTTTACTCCTGGGGGAATTCTGTGCCAAAAAAATACAAATTCTGTGCACAATATTTTAAAATTCTGCACATTTTATTTGTCAAAATAACACTATATAATCATGCCAGTTTCAATTATTTTGGCAATTTATTTCAAAATTACCAGTCAACAAGTATAGAGAGTTAAACCCCTACGACAACCCAGTTCCTGCTTCTCTGCCCCCTCTCCCACAGAGCCCAGCTGGGGGCCAGACACTCACTCATCCCCACCCCAGCCCATACACTCTCAGACGCTGCCCTCCTAGAGCACAGGGATCCAGAGGGAGAAACAGCCTGATGCTGGGTCCCGGGCTTGCACAGTTTCCTGCATGCCGCCACCTCCTTCCTTCAGGGCGTGCTAGGAACTGCAGCTGCTGGGAACCCTCCAGATCCCTCACCCACCCCCTGCCCTTGTTTTCTTTTTGCGAGCTGGTCCAGCAGCCCCTAGTGGTGGCCAAAATCTCTGCAGCCGATTTCTGGGGTGGGGGGGAGGAAATGCTACATGCCCAACATTAATTTCTGCAAAATTCTGCATTGCAAAGTGGCACAGAATTCCCCCAGGAGTATAGGTTGGTCCTGGGGTAGTGGTGGCATCAGCTGTTGCATTGGGGTGAGGGGGAAGATCATGCAGGGAAACAAAGGTTTGGATGTATTTTTGCATGTTTGAATATGTGCATTTTTATAACCCCTTCATGGTATAGAAGCACCTAAAAATCATAATGAATCTGGTCTTCCATTACCCCTATCAGTTAGCTAATATCAAAGTCTCAACACATATTGTGACCTTGAACATCAACTCCTTAAAGCTTTCCTATGCATGTAGAGAAATCTTGGCTACTCTGTCACATTCAGCCCAAACTCATCATATTCTGTGATTGCCAAACTCTAGGATGGTCAGTGGACACTTCTTTGAATTTGAAATCGGGTCTCTGCTGCCCAACAGGCTGCTGGACAGTTGTAAGACAAGCAGCGCATTGAGATCCACTGAACAAAATGAGACGAGTCCAAAGATTGTGGTTCTAGGTTTACTTGGCTAGCTCCAAAAGCCGTAATCCTTGTTTCTCCTCTTTTCTATCTAAACAGGGGGATTTTGTTGTAAGTAATGACTCCTTAATCACAGAGTCTGTGGGCTCATAGTGGACACATTTATTTCCTCTCTAATGGGCACTTGCAGCTCTTTAACCTCACCACTAACCTGCATGCAGACCTAATATTTCTTCTGAGTCTCATCTGAGAGCGAAATGATGATGTACTGGGCAGCATGTGGAGGGTGTGTACACCAGAAAGTGAGTAAAATTGTTCAGAGTGGCCCAAAGGGGATCTAACAGTACCTGGATAAAACTCAGCCATGGCAAATACAAACTGAGAATCTCTGATGAAGGGGATTGCTATTGGACATCTCGTGGTGTGTAAAATGCTCTCCAAGGCAAACAGTGGAAGTGATACTACTTATGTCACTCAAACTAGGCTGGCCAAAGCCCTGGAGAATATACTGTAGGGAATAATCATGCTTTAGCCACTGGGAATGAACTAGATGACTTAAAAGGTCTCATGTTCTATCTTCTAGACTAAAAACCACATGTCTAAAAAGGACATAAAGGGGTCCCCTTCAGGGCTCTGAAAAGAATGGAGGAATCTTCATGTTTGTAGCACTGACGCTGGCTAGTAGCATTAGGTGGTTTGTGGTGAATACAGCAGCACAGTCACTGATGGTGTCTTTGCCTGAACATGTCCTCTGCAGTAACTGTTTCTGCTTGGATGTTGAGCCTGAGGTGTCTTACACAAGGGAACTGCCCCACTCACCTTCCAAGCTCCTTTTCTTCTTCGGGAAATGGAGTTGTTGAACTAGCACTGCTGCCAAAACAGCACTGTCTCTTTCCTAACACATGTGGCTATTCCGGAGGGAGTGTGAATGTGTCTCTGACTGAAGCTGCAGTTCCTAGGTGTGTTGTCCCTGGCTTCCTGTGCCCAAGTAGCCTGGGGCAGAAACAAGCCCCAGCAGTTGGGTATAATCTGAGCTTCCCGCCCACCCCAGGAAAAGGAGCGGCAGCGGCTGGAGAGCCTGAGGAAGAAGCAGGAGGCTGAGCAACAAAGAAAACAGAAAGTGGAGGAAGAGAAGAGACGGCGCCTCGAGGAGATGAAATTGTGAGTGGCTGCCCCTCCAGCTGCTCCTTTTCTGGCTCAGCTCTGAAGCACTTCAAGGTCTTGTCTACACTGGTGACTTGCCCTGATTACCGCCATTGGTAGCTAGCTACAGCTACGCTAGTGCAAACAGCTAGTGTTGATGGTGTACAGCTGGTGCCAGTGGAGCTTACCCCAGTTTGAAGCAAGGATAGGCTGAGCCGAAGCAAGGCTCTTACACTCTGCATTGGGGGTTTGCACCAGTGCACTAGCTGCTCCAGTGCTGGCGCCTTGATAGCTGTAACCAGGGCAAATCCCCAGTGCAGCCAAAGCTAACTGTCCCCACTTGTCCCCCAGGAAGCGTGAGGAGCGTCTGAGGAAGGCACTGCAGGCTCGCGAACGGGTGGAGCAGATGGAAGAGGAGAAGAAAAAGCGGATGGAACAGAAATTCTCTCAAAGTGAGGAGAAGACCGAGAAGGTAAGAGACCCAGCCTGGAAACAGAGCCCCTACGGACAGCTGGGTTTTCTCACGGCAATGGGCAGTGAACCTAGTAGGGGGTAGTGATGGATTGCCTCACTGTGCGATAAACATATCGGCAGTTACTAAAATCCTCGATGCTAGTGACACTGACCACAGGGGCCATGAGTGAGTAATGAGGCCACTCGGTATTAGCACAAAAAGAGTCACTACAGGGCCTATCTGTAGTCCTCTGTTCAACAGGGAAAGGCTCTGCTCTGTCAAGTCCATGCAACAGTGTTGTTTATTCCTATCGTGGATTTCAGTGTCTATGGTACTCTAAGCTCTTTGAGGACTAGTAGTGGTGTCTTATCAGCAGGCCCTGTGCCCTGCAACCAGACTACAAGTGTTGAGTGGGGTGCTCAGGTTTGGGTTGGCTCAGTTCTCCTCCTCCTGCCTGTGCAGTCAGCCCAGCGCCAGCTGTGTGCCCCACCCCTGCCAGCTGCCACCACTTCACTGTGCTGTGTGTGCACTGCAGAGTGACAGGCCCTGCAGCTCCTTGGCACGCTCACTCCACAGCACACAGTATGTAGCCATGGGTGTGCTCGGCCACCGCAGTGCTGACCCTGTGGGCAGGAGCAGGTGGTAGTGCTGAGTCAGGTTCATGGGAAGGGTTGCGCTTAGATCAGAAAACAACTCAACACTCTCAGGCTTGGATCACGTGAGCTGGGTTCCAGTCCTGGTGGGGCCTAAAATTTGGTCCAAACAGACCTGTACTTGGAGCAGGGAGGTCACTCTGTTCACACTGCACTAAAGCATGTGGGCCACTCCTGCAATCCACCTTCAGTGCAAAGGCCAATGCCCCTGCACCTGGATGCAATAGTTCCTAGTGGAAGACCTGCTTTCTTTGATTCCAGCCTACTGACAACCACGCACAGCTCTGCTGAAAGGTGCATGTGTGACAGACGTCTCTATTTATACCACTTCTGTGAGGCACGCTGTTGCAGTCTGTTCATGTGACAGAGACCAGAGAGAATATGCAGAATACTCCAGAGTTGATTGTTGCTTGCATCCAGGGTATTGCTGCTGCTCTTACACTTCATCAGTAGGTGCTGCCGAGTTAGAGGTGTGCTGTGTGTGGTTTACCTAGTGTTCTAGGGCATTGGTTTTCAAACCGTGGGTCACGACCCAGAACTGGGTCGTGGAATGGAAGGGACTGGGTCACGGCGGCTCTGGTCATTAAAAGTCCCGTCGGCAGTGCTGCGTGGCTAAGGCAGGCTAGTCCCTATCTGTTCCGACACTGCGGAAGCGGAAGCAGCAGGTCTGGCTCCTAGGCAGGGGGGCCACGGGGCTCCGCGTGCTGCCCCCACCCCAAGCACCGTCTCTGCACTCCCATTGGTCATTTCCCGGCTTGCGCACCTCCACCTAAGAGCTGGACCTGCTGCTGGCCGCTTCCGGGGCACAGCGCGGTCTGTGGTGCCAGGATAGGCAGGAAGCTGACCGGGAGCTACCCAAGGTAAGCCCGTGCCCCAATTCCCTGAGCCCCCCCAAACCCAGACTCCCCTCCTATACCCCAAAGCCCTCCTCCCCAGCCCCACCCCAGAGCCTACACCCCCAGCCCAGAGCCCCTTCCCATACCCTGAACCCCTCATTCCCGGCCCACCCTGCACCCCTCACCACCTCATCCCCCAGCTCCGTTGGGTCACGGGCATCAACAATTTTCTTCAACTGGGTTGCCAGAAAAAAAGTTTGAAAACCACTGTCCTGGGGCAGCCCAAGAGCTTGGGGATCCAGCTTGGTATGTCTGGCTTAAGCTCTGGGAGAAGGTTGACATTCACTGAACCCCTTTTTTCCTCCTTCTAAATGAGGATGAAAACGGAACAGGCTACAGAGCTTGTTCCCATTCTGGGTGATGGGTCATAAAGCAGATCTTTTCAGGATCCATCCTCCAAGGTTATGGGGAAAGATTAAAGGACTGCATCTTTCCCTTGCACTAACAGCCAGAACTGCATACAGTCCTTGGTACTCTTCTCACAACCATGTGTTCCTTTCCACATGCTCTGCCACTCAGCTAAAGTGAAGGAATCTTGCATTTGTGGTCTTCTCACCTCCATGTCCCCTGTTCATTTTGCACATCCGTTTGCGTGCTAGAAAACTATACCTCAAGCAAAAGGAAAGCCCATCTTCCTGCTGGCTTTTCCTTGTTCTGATGAAGGTCACGTAGCAATATGGCATCCTGTAATTTGGATTCTGTGTAACTCTGTTTCATGTACTTTTTACAGTTATTCCTGGTGATGGTCTTCTCCTCCTGTGAACTCTGACTGGGGCTGAACTCGCTGCACTGGGTGCCATCTGCCTTTAAAATATGTATACGCTTCACTGGGGCTTTGGACTTTCACTCTGCTCCAGAGAAAGGCATCTTCCCCCATGGGATGTGATGGGGGGCCCCATACTCCTGAAGAGCGCCTGACTCTTCTTTCTATGGTAGATAAACATGTCAAGACTGTCCTGTATGAGGCTCGGCAGGGTCCAGACCTGATGTGTGTGATTCTCTCAGGTGCGAGAAGAGAAGGTGGTAGAAGAAAAGATGAAGAAAAAAATAGCTAAGAAGACTGGTGAAGTGGAGACCCGAAAACAGAAAGTGCTGCAGATAGTAAGAGCAAGAATAGGTCCCATCTGTAAGGAGAAGAGTTCGCAGAGGAAAAACAGAATGATGGGAAATCTGCACAGTGTGCTTCATATGGGGAAGAGGGCAGAACAATAACCAGTAAATAGCTGTGGGGGAACAGGCCAATGAGTATGTCAGAATAGATTTACCTCCACACACACATATACAGAGAGAGACATGCACGCACACAGATACTCTCTCTCACTCTCTCCCTCCCCCTTCCCCCCCAACCCCCCAATATCCTACTCCTTTTGTGACTGAAGTACCTTATCACTTCTTTCTTTCCCAGTGAGGGTGGGGTAAGGTCACTCTCCAAGTATGTTCTAATGCATCTCACCATTATGAGTTGCATAGCACCATAAACGTTCATGGTGTTTTTACTGACCTCTCCTTCATATACACTTTTCCATAGGGCTGAAATTTTCAGACGTAGGTATTAGTTTCCAAACACTCAGCCCTCCATTTCCTGTAAGGGACTAGGAAAGCTCAGGTGCATAATTCCATCCCAGACTTCCTAGCAATTCCATGACTAAATGAATTCTGGAGATGGGTAACTTTGTGCTGTCACCTATACCCAGGTGCAATAAGTGCTGGGGGTGGTGATGTCCCTCTTTATATAACAGCAAATGTGGGGGGCAGGAGGAGGGGCTGCACAACTAAGGTCCAAGACTCTGGTGATGGTGATGAGGATGGGTCAGAGTAGGTATCATTAAGGCTAGGAAAGGGCACTTGACCCATAACTCAGCCACCCTCCCCATTTAGCATAGAAGAAGTGGACTTGCTTTGCCTTCTCAGGAGGAGGATGAACGCAAGCTGCAGGAGCTACTGCAGAAGAGGAGAGAGGATGAACAGCAGGACAAAGGGAGGAAGATTGCGGAGCTGAAGAAACTGGCAGAGCAGCAACAGGTGGAACAGGCAAAGGAGAGGTGAGAGCTGGCCTGTTTCCACACCCCTGAGAAGAGGGAAGGGGGCGGAGCGACAAGCATGGCAAAGCAGATCTTGTCAGTACTAGGAGAAGGGGGTGTGAGTGATGGGCTATAGTGGAGGGTTCTGGGTGCAGAAGGCAGGTATCTGAGCATCCTGGATGGGAAGTGACCTGGGTCCTTTGTGACTCACTTGGTTATGCTTTGATTTGCCAGGAGTCACAAACAGCAAGAGAAGGGGAAGGCCCTTCACCTGCAGATGGAGCTGGCAGTGGTTACAGAGGAGGAGGAAAACCAAAAGAAGGTGGGGAGTTGAGACTCTGTGTCATGCACTGGACTTTATTCTATTTATGTCTTTGGCCTTGAGCATGCCTTTAGCTTTACCAGCTGCATTCTCCTAGTGAAGGGTAGCAGTGAGGCCTATAATCTCCAAATCAGCAAGAGTCTGAGTTGGAGTCTAACAAAGAATTGCTGCTGTTCCTCCACTGTGGAGAGTGTCTGTCCCCATCATTGGGTAGTGTCCCATCCTGCTGAGGGAGGGGATGAATGGGAGACTAGGGCCTCTCATATAGGACAAGTCAGATTCAATAGGCGTGAAAACAGGGTGATCTGTTTATAACTTGGACTTGTTAACAGGAGGAACAGAGTCCAGAAGAGCAGGAATGGCAGCAACCACGGGAAAATAAAACCAAGCCACCAGAATCTGTTGCTATTGTTCCCAGTAAATGGCTGAATATAACAGTGGAGGTGAGTGAGCCAAGAGCCGGAGCAAAGACAGGGGTTCCAATGTCTACTGGGCTCTAAATTCCTGGGTCCGTGGAGGCCTTTCCTCTTTGTATGGGACATTCTCCTTCAAAGAGGGCAGGGATGTCTCTTTATCTGAGCAGCCATAAGAAACTTGGCTCAACACAGAAACAATGGAGAGAATTCTTTTGTTTGGAATGTAAAACAAGTGATAGGAAATGGCCACATGATGGCACTAGATCCTGAGGAATCCTGGGAGTTGGTGCTGTATTGTAGCCTCTCACTAGTGACATCAGGTAGCTGAGAAACTTCCATGCTTCTCCAGTTGCTTTAAACTCTCTAACTACCACCATTGAAGTTGAAACACCATTGTGTTTCTAGCCTAGATGTGTTTGGTGAATCAAACTGAAAAGCTAGACTTAGGGCATAATGGATCAGCTTTGCTTTTTCAAGCAGCCAGCTACTGCCTCTTCCATAACTTCTGGTTGTCTGATGCCTGATACCATCTGAAACTTGATTTGTCTTGTATTCTGTGACTGTATTTTATAGCTCACTGGAAAAATGAGGGACTCTTTATTGGGTTCACATAAGAAATGTCCTTGCAGCAGGTGGTGGGTCTCATTTTGACACACTGCCCCTCTTCAGCCATGCTGGAACAAAGCCCTTTTTTCTGCTCTCAGCAAACTCTCTCTATATAGTGAAATTGGCCCCTACGTGACTGTCTCATGGGTTCTTACGCTTATTTCTAAAAATGACTAGGTGTTGCACTTACCTGTAGTCAGGAGTTGAATGTTAAAAACCTCATGTCTTCTTATGGCTTGTATTATGGCTAGGAATTTCTGTCTTAGTCCCACAGTACTAGGCTCTATACAAACAAGTAACACTCCCTGCTCCAGAGAGATTACAGTCCAGGGGTCAGATGGGACGTGACAAGTGGACAAATGGAGAGGGTGAGGGGAATGTAGTTACACAATGAACAGAGACTATCAGAAAAAATGCAAGTCTCTTCTTGGCACTTGCCTCTCCCATGCCAGATGGAAACAATTTGTAGGCATCACAGCAAGTGAGACTTTAAGAAGGGATTCAAAGGTGGATAAGTGGGTGGCTCTTCAAATGTTGACTTTTGTCCCCTATGCGTAGTATCTGACAACTAATGCAAGACGCTTACGTTCTCTTTGGGTGGGGAAGATGTGTAACACTGAGTCAGCAACTCCTTCCCTTGGTTTGAAAAAGGTCTGACTCCTGAAGCACTTTATGGTTGTATGAAGGCCCTTAGGGGTGTGTGCTTTTCAGAAGGTTTTGTTGCTGTAGAACAGGAGCACCAAGCAGGCTCTGATAAGTCGCTTCCTTGCCTCTGCTGCTGTAAGGAGGGAGTGAGATGGAAGGAACAGGACCTGTGATTGTCCATCTTCCCACCTCCTACCTAAGAACTATCAAACAGCTTATGGTGCTCAGTCCTGTACGGTGTACTGCATAGACAAGCATCAGTGGGTTTACAATCAGAGTAATTGTTGCTGCTGCTTTTAGTTGTACTTTCCAGCCATACTATTCCTGTTGCATGAAAGATGGTGCTGCTGAACACCTACAGGGTGAAAAAACAGGGCAACTTGCTGCTGTTCCAAGAATGATATTGTTGATGTTGATCTCTTGATTGTATACAGCTCATTTTAAAAAAAAAAAGTTATCAGCAACACATGGCTTTAGATGAGTCTCTACACTTAGCTTGATTTTTTTTTTCAGGTTAATTATAGAATAGCAAATGTCTGACATCAAATGTGACTCAGATAAACTCAGTAAACTGTGTTGTATACAGCAGTCCTGTAGCTTAAAATGTTACGCTTCAGCACAGCCTGGTAGCTTGCTAGGTGGGAGATCCACATTCAATTCTTAATTCCTCCCTCCACAAACTCTCTTCGTTGGCATGGGTTTGGAAGCACAGCCAAAGCAGCCTGCTCAGCCCCCACGGGATGGGGAGAGGGAGAAGAGAGAGTGCTCTTTTTTTACTACACAAGGATCTCCACTGGCACATGGAGTGACTTTCTGTGCTGTAACATGCAGTTTAAGACTAGAGCTAAGCTTGTAAGCCTTTTCTGAGTGGCTACAGAGGCTGCTCTCTGCAGTTACAGGGAAGCTGCACTTTCTGTAGGTCATTGCCCTATAGCAATGGCATTTACGTCTCAGAAACGCTCTGCAGTGTGTGGTTACTATAGGACAGTGCCCTGCAATATTGCTTTTGGAGCATGTGGATGCCAGTCTAGGTTAAGTTTATTTAAAAAAAATAATAATAATAAAAGCTTTGACAAGAATCTAAGGAAGTTAGGCTCAGTTGAAAATCCCAGCCCAAATTATTTAACCAGTATATTTCTTCTGAATTATCATGTGGCTATTGTTGCCTTCCCATAAACAGACAGGCGTGATCTCTGGATCTGGTGTTTTGGAGTGGGATTGAAGATCAGGTATGAACGTGACATTGACAGCCAGAGTCACACCATTGCCACTTCCTGTCTTCCATGGCTCACCTTTGTTCCCTCCAGGGCAGAGTATCTATTTCATTCTCCTGCCCATGGAGACTCATGGCAGAACAGTAATGTGTGATTCAAACCTAGTGTTGTTTGGATAGCAGCAATACTGTGTATATATTAATAAACTTGTTGGTGCTGACATTAGCTGTCCTACCACCTGCTGTTGGCACCAGTGATTCTTGGAGTACACAATGTAAATCTTCTGCTCCTAGATCCTTGGATATTTCTATCATAAATAACTAATAGACTAACCAAAATCAACAATGGGTTCTTTCTAGAAACTCAAGCTGTCTCATCAGCACCACTACATAGAAGTATTATTATAAGGTAATTGATTTTTTTTTAAGGCTATATATCTAACTTTTCTATTTGGTTTCAGAAATCTCCTGTCTCTGACTCCTATCAAGGGCCCCCTTTAGGATCAAAAGAACACAGATTCCCCAAGGTAAATCCAAATAACTATGGGCTGGATCTGAACAGTGATGACTCCACAGATGATGAAAGCCAGCCCCGCAAGCCCATCCCTGTCTGGGCCACTGGTACGTGCAGATCTTGTTATACCCACTGAAACTTCATCTATGAGAATTTGGAAGACCCCAGATTTCTCAGGGAGGCTTAGAAGTAGAGGAAGCCACAATTTAGGCCAGAAATGCACGAGACTTCAGCTTATTGCAGTTCCATATGGTACTAGCTTTGAGTGGTAATCTGAGCAGGAGCTGCATTCCTGCAGGTGCTATTGTTCGGATGTTAATTTGGAATCCCTTGTGCCCATCCCTGGAGTTGAAGCGCTTTTGCACTGTCTGAAAACAGAAGGCTAGGGAGTTCACCAGTGCCCGGCAATCCTTTCTTTCAGTGATGGGTTTTCCACAGTACTTGGGATACCTGGAATGTGAAAGATGCCTTGGAAACCAATTATATTCTCTGCATGAGGGGGAATGTAAGGTTCTGTATGAAGCCAGGCAAAACCCTACCTTGATCCAATACTGAGAATTCAGTATCTGCCATGCCCACCCCAAATCTCTTCCAGGACTGGCTCTGTGGGCAGGGCGAGAGAGCCTGGAGGGTTGCTTTTAGATCTTGACTTTCATGCACTGATTTGCAGTAATCATGGTACCAAGGGAGTGAGGTTTAACAGGAGCACTGAGGTGCTACCAAGGGCTGGTCTACACTAGGGACGGGGATCGATCTAAGATACGCAACTTCAGCTACGTGAATAGTGTAGCTGAAGTCGAAGTATCTTAGATTGGTTTCAGAGTAGCAGCCGTGTTAATCTGTATCCGCAAAAAGATACAGATCTTAGATCGATTTACCTGGGGTCCACACGGCGCAGGATCGACGGCCACGGCTCCCCCGTCGACTCCGCTACCACCGCTCGCTCGGTGGAGTTCCGGAGTCGATGGGGAGCGCATTCGGGGATCAATATATTGCGTCTTAACGAGATGCAATATATCGATCCCCGATAAATCGATCGCTACCCGTCGATACGGCGGGTAGTCTGGACGTACCCTTAGACTGCTCATGTAACATGGTGGTTATTTTTGCAGGAGCTCAGCTTAATCAAGCGGTTACATACCAATACTACAACCCTCCAAATATCGAGACACTCTTTGGGCTGATCATAAGCCCTAAACTGGAGGACATTTTCTACAAGAACAAGCCGCGATATTTCAAACGCACCAGCTCTGCTGTCTGGCACTCACCACCCCTTCCCGGTACCAAGTCTACACTGGGCCTGCCCTACAACCTGAAAAAGTACTGAGGAAGGAGAATGTCCCTCTTCTGTCCACCTGCCGTTTCAACGTTGTTCTGGTTTTTGTGTAAAGAAAAAAAATCTTTTCTAAGATCTGTTTTTTTTAATATTTGCATAGAATAAAAGCTTTAAAATAATCAGGGCCACCTTCCTTCCTGTCTGGGGTGGGTTTTTGTTGACACTTCGAGATGTGCTGTGGGGAAGAGCAGAGGCTTACTAAACTAAAGCACTGCCCCCTCAGTGTCACTTTACTTCCTTCTATGCCCTCTCCCTTATGTGTACACATGGTGTTGTGTGGCACTTGAGAACCCCTGTCTGATTGTATGTCTCTAGATGGCAGTGCAGATGTTCTGAATGGACAACTGACAGCATTACGTAGCTTATCTTTTTGGAGTAAGCTAAATGCCCAAATAAAAGAGCTGCATGGAAGATTATATCTCAGATGAGTAGGACTTTCTGTCTTCATGGCCTGAGCTCTTCACTTGCTCCTTAGTAGTTAAAATGTACGGCTTTTATAGTGCCCTCTAACTTTTGATCTGAAATCTTCATGCTTGGTCTTAGGCTGGAAGTGACTTTTATTTGGACTGTTTGATATGCCTGAATGGATTTTTATCACCCAGTGTTTTGTGTAAAAAAAAATCAATTAATTAAATCAAATTCCAGATGCTGCTTTTGCACTCAACTCAAAAGCAATTCTACTAGTCTGTATCTATTAACTGGGAGCCTTTCCTCTTGACTTCTTTCTAATCTGTAACAGCTGAAGGAGCATCTTCAGAGTTACGCTCCTTTTTGCCTGCTCAAGTCAGGTACCAAAGTGAGACGTCCCAGGTGTGTGGCAGTCCATGCAGTTAGTCTCATCAGTTACTCCTGTCTGACGCACTGGAAGAAGTGGGGTGGGCTGAACCCGTGGACTTCTTCACAGGGTGGATTTGATTTAAATCACTAGTCAGGAAGACTCGATTTAATCATGGTTTTCTACATAAAAGTGCATTCATGCAGTTATAACTTTAATACATATTCCTCACAACTCAGAGATACATGTAGGTTTCATTTTTAGAAGGTACACACTATACATTTTTAAACAGTGATTTATTTTGAAAACTTTTCAGATTAGTTTTACAGCTATATCAGAAGATGAATGATTGTTCAGTTATTTCATTTACCAAAGGTAATTGAAGCAGATAGTTCACCTCCCAATGACTTCATAAATATCTCCAATTCAACAGGTTAATCATTAATAGTTGGAGGATTTTCTTGCTGTGCTGTATTTGGAAGAGAACATCACCAGACAGACATTTAAATTGTTTTATTTAACTAAAATAACATGAAGAAAAAAATCCAGAATACTTAAACAGCAAACATACACTTGTTTTGTTTAAAATATTATATGTTCCTCGCTTCTCACATTTAACTCCAGACTTCTTCTCCTTGTCCAGATCTAGTCCACCCCCAACCAACTTCTATTCATTCAACTTTTTGAAACTTTGCATTTTTTTAGAGAGAGGTAAGGGATAGACTCTGTGTACACAAATTTGCAGAGGGACAATAGAGTTGAGGAAATATTTCTTACCTCTGAATTTTATTTATTTAAAAACATTGCTGTTAATAAGCATGTTATCTCTGGAGACACAAATCCACAGTTTGAGAACTGCAAAACTAAGAATCTCTGATGGTATCTTCTAGACTGAGCACTGAGTCCCATTGGGTAGATAGAAAGATTAACCTAAATAATCTGTACAGAAGCCCCTAGAACCCCATAAAATTGGGTCCCTAATCCATGAACTATTGGAACTCATTTATAAAACTTTTTTCTTAAACATTACATGAATATATTGTCTCATACTGTAGAATTAGAATTTATAATCCCTATTCCATGATGAGATATCTTAATTAAAACTAGGTTAGGTTTTTTTCCTCAAAGAGCATTTTATCAAAAAAATCTGATTTTTTTTTTTTTTTTAATCATTGATTTTTATCCACCCTGCTTCTTCATATGTCCTCTAAGGATCTTGATTTTTCTACTCAGCATGAGCCCTACTCAACAATACAATACTCAGTGCAGTACAGTAACACCCCTCAGCTCTTCAACTTCTCACCTGCACACTGGCTGGATCTAGATCACTAAAGGTCACAGCAGATGAGTAAAGTACCCAACAAGCTGGAAGTGAAGACACCATAACTGGATGCTGTGAAAGAGTGGAACTGTGCTGCTCTGAATGTACCTGAGCTTTTGAAAGTTCTGTACCACTGGGCCAGGTTCCAATGTGGATGTTGGAGCAAAAATCATTCTGCAACATACAAACCTGTGTCCAACAGCTTGTTGCTTATACATTAGCCGTTTCTAGAAAAACGTGTTCTCTAGACGTAGCCAAACTCCTTTGGGCTGCAGAGGTTACTAAGTCTTATTGGAAGCTTTCCCTGCCACTGTCTGTGCTGTCCCTGAGACATGGCTGGAGGACAGTTTGTTCCATGCTTCAGAGGAGGAAAACACTGAACAAAACCTGCCGACTCCATCTCTGCACAGCTCCTCTCCCAGTTCCCTGTACTGCACAGAGGTAATTAAGAGCTGGGAACTGTCAAGTTAGATATTCAGATCTGTTTCAGAATCTCTCGCTATATCGGCTCCGGTTTGAAATACTGTAGGTGAATGGCAGAGCCCAAGGGGAGGGAAGGGTGGCTCAGTTGTGTTACTGAGGCTGGCTTCATTGCTCAGCATCACTTTGCTCTCCCTAAATTACCTTGACATGTGGCTCAGAGGTGCAAAGCTTTAATTGCCGTCTGTTTGAAGGCTGGCTGAATGTTTCATTAATAAGCCAGAGACCCTATGGCAGGGGAACTTTCCTGCTTATCTAACCCAGTTGCCAACTTGCACAGTTGTGAACTAGATAATTGAGTTCTGGGTCATAGACTGTCGTGTGGTGGGAGAGATGTATACGGTCATCCTTCTACAGAGAGTGTTGGGCAGCCAAGTTAAATGAAAGAAGCATTTAAATACATTCTGCTGGTGAAGTGGAGGGAAGACAGAAGAACAAGTTCTGCTGTGCCGTACCCACTCAGCGGTGGGGATAATGTCCTTTTAAACTTTAGCAAAGCAGAGGGTGTCTTTGGAAACACAGATCTTTGCTTTACAAAAGCCTTGTCTATGCTAGGGAAATACAACAATGGTGGAAAAACTTGTAAATACTACTTCACCCAGCACTGTTGCTGGCAGTGGTAATCTAGGTCTACTTCCACTTATGATGTTCTTCCAAATTCCATCCCTTCTAATCCTGCTCCAGATAAGACAAATCACCCATGGAGGAAAATGATGGCAGCTGCAGGAGCCTTGTCTACACTGGAAGTTTCTAGCATTGGTGGCACTAGTGAAGCTCAACAAGTGTTAGTGATAGTAGGAAAGTGTTGGTAGGAAACTTCTGTAAAACTTTCCCTAGAGGAGCGAAGGCTATGATGCATTTTTGGAGGTGGGGGAGTTCTAAAGAGCCATCATGCCTCGAGCTGTGTAATACAAGCTAAGTGCTTTCTACGTCAAATGGAAATCTCATGACATGAAGAGTTGGGTAGTCTTTGTCTCTGAGATGAAGTGACTAAATGGGGGGAGAACAAGGGGAGAGTGTGTGTGAGAATGAAGCAATCTCTCTTCTTGAAGGAGGAAGAGAAACCAGGAGCCTTCATTGGCTTCCTGGTACACGAGTCATAAAAAGAGGGGTGGGAGGTGGCTGCTGTCTTATCCCCAAGATCTGCCCTGGTCTGTCAGAAACCCCTTGATTCCAAAGGAGCCAGGAGGTGCATGACCTCAACTTATTGTCCTAGAGGTGATTACGGTATCAGTCAGTGGTGCCTTCAGAGTGAAAAAGAGGAAAATGGGCTGGGAATAAGAGGATGCACTTAAACCTGCGTCTCTTACAAACAAACAAACAAATAAATCCTAGTCCCATGATGCTACTGCTCAGCAATATGACTCGCACTCAGGGCAGCGTCATTGATTCTGTTGCTCTTTCAGACGGTGTTAATTACACTGGTCTAAAATTTTTGAGAAGTCGTCTGCTTCAGAGATAAAATGTGCTATTTATTATGTATTTTGATGTGCTGAATTCAAATATGACAATGAAAACAACTGATTGGCTACTGTTTCTAAGATATTTAAGTTTTTACATTTTATGTCTATGTATATTGTGTAGATAGTAGAGTTTTTTAATCATAAATTGTAAACCTAGGTCTTTTCATGTGTTTATGGTTGCTTTACATGATAATATTTCACCTATCCTGTTTA